CCAGAGGCTTGTTCTCTGTACCATAGAGCAGGAGTAAGAGTATTCCATCTGATTAAGTAATGAATTCCTAACATGTCTTTGCAAGCTAGTTTAGGATTAAAAGAACATGTTAAATTGCTCCAAATGTGCACCTAGTTTAAATGACACTCAAAAGCAAAACGTTTCGTGTGCTTATGTGTGTTGAGTGAGCAGTGTCCCCATGTCCACAGCATCTGTGCCATTCTCGGTTCAAACGCTGCTGTGCTTTGGATGAGCTCAGTGGGTGAACTGTCAATCTAATGGAACTGGAAAATGAAAAGGCAGCTTTTGCCCTGTGATTGTAATGTGGATTGTGTTCCGTGGTGTACAGCTGATACTTAAGTATGAAAACGTTTGTCCCTCAGCTAAGGAGAGTGAAGACAAAGAGAATCTTCCAAAAAGGACTTCAGCGGGCGGATTCAAATTCACTTTTTCCCACTCAGCCAGCGCAGCCAATGGTGCAAACGGTGCAAACAGTAAATCCATGGCAGCTCAGACATCGCCAGCAAGCTCCAACGGCTCCTCTTCAAAGAACACGACCCTGACCACAGCAGTGACGGCCACAAAGGTGGGAGAACTTGTACAAAAGCTGCTGTCCTTGCTTAGGACAGCGGAGCAGTATCATGAGACTTTACCGGTTGCAATGTGGTAAGGTTAGTGTTAGCCTCTAGGCAGGGTATCTTATTTATGTATAAATTCATCCAAAGCCTGGTCTAGTTAAACCCTTACTAGTTTGGGGGAAGGTTTAAGGAATTATAGGTGGGACTGGAGTATGTTGGTAATCTGGTGGGCACAGTTTAATCTTGCATCTCCTGCGTAATTTAACTGTACCCACTCCTCAGCTTTAACTGTCCAGTTGCTGCTCTGTGTGTGTGATACACATACGAGATTGGTTTTTCTGAATTACATACGTGGATCCCCTGTCACAGAATTAATAAGTGTTTTTAAGCAGACGAAATACCATAAGTGATGCCTCTGTCGTGTCTTACGCAATTGTGCATTGTTTTAATCTTTAGTCTGCAAGCTCGTGAGAGGCTACAGAAAAGTGTGGCAAAAATTTATTGCACACACCTAAGACTTGCCAGTAAAATGGATGTGCAGTGCACGCATCAGATTTTGTGACTCTGCAGTTGAGAGCTTAAAAAGCCATTTTTAAATAAATCTGAGGCCAGATCCAGAGCAGCGAGGAAGTTCTAGTAGTTTTTGAACCTCAAGGTTCAAAAACGTTCCCAAGACAAACGGGTCTTTGAATGAGAAAGGCATCACCAAGCAAGATTCTGCAGGCTGGTGTATCCTGGACAGGTTGGCTGGGGGTTATGTACTAAAATTGCACATTCCTGGGTTTCCTGGGTACGTTTTTCAGTGTGAGATTTTCCCTTTTTATTTTTTTTTTTGTCTTTCAATTGACAGGGAAGTCTAGTTGGCCTAGTGGATTACCCTGATGATGAAGATGATGATGAAGAGGAGGAAGCATCTCCACGGAAAAGACCTCGTTTAGGTTCATAAATGAAACCAAAACTTCAGAATAAAAACTCTTATTACGAGGTTTCAAATGCTGCAACTGTTTTAAGAGCTAAAAAGAATCTGATTGAGAAAGCTTTCTCCCATGAGTATATAAGATAATACAAGGAGTAGCAAAAGAAACTCAGTATATCAGCTAGAAAGGGTTAGTTCTGTAAACAGAAAGCTTCCAAGGAACTTTAATATCTTTCTAGTAAGTAAGGAGTCTGCCATTCAGGCTGTCAGAAAAATTAAAAATAATTTTTAAAAAAGTGGGTTAGTATTCACAGAACCTGGATGATGGCTTCTCAGCTAGGAAAGTCTCAGGTGTTGGGAGGGCAGGGGGAGGGCAAGGTATGGTAAAGACTTTTTTAGAAAATATTGCAGGGTTTCCCCAGTGTTTAACAGAACTAGGAAAAAAAAATCAAGCTTAAATTTTGAACCCAGTAATCTTAATTTTATAATGGTGCTGTCGGTTGTGTTCTTTTAGCAATGCCTTTTTAAAAACAATTTTAAGGGAAAACTAACTGTTTGCATAAGAACAATCCAGATTTGGGGACCATTTATTACCAATTAAATAACATTTCTTGTGGTCAGAGGGAGGGACACTGCAGTTATAGTGCATGTTGAGTTGTTTAAAACAGTTAAAAATATGTTTTAATTTGTATTTTTCAAGAGGAGAAAATGGAAGCTAGATTCAAAATGGATGGTTTTGCTTGTTTTTTTTGATTAGACATCCAGTCCAGTAGTATCTATACCAAGGAACAGTCGCTTCCAAAGTATCTCCAGGAGCTGCTTGTGTCAAAGCGGTGCTGTACCGGGCACACCCGAATAGCTGTCGGCTTGACGGTGTGGAAGATACTGAATTTGAATCACTTTCTGTGTTGGTACATGAGCTGGCTCTTCTTGGAGCAGCAAGCCATTTTCCTGCTTGCGATTTTAAATTGCGTCATTGAGGTGGTAATAAGAAACACTAACAGGTTTTTCATAGTGATGAATTTAGCGGCGTTTTAACACCAAAGTCACTTTGAACCAAGACAGAATTACTACTAACAGAACACCAGTCTCTGAGGGAGAATCAACAGGCAGCGCCTGAATCTGGGTGTAACACGAAAGCTGCTTTTTTAAAAAATAAAAGCACATTCCATGTAGGTAAGCAAACTGCGACAAGAACAGGTGAGTTGATGGCGAGTTGATAGAGGCAAACAGTCCAGGTTTTATTTTCAAGAGCAGCAAGTGAACTGTAAATATTTTAATGTTAGCTTGCCCATATGTGATCTGAGTGAGAGGAGTATCCCCATGGCAGGGTGTCGGAATGTTAAAATACAAAACCAGCTGCAATCCACCACATAGATCACTCTTGTAATATGTGTTATGGGTCCATTTCTCCTGGAATAGTTTAAACTGAAGCAGTTTCTCTGTTTTGGAGATTTTTGTAGTTAATTTTAGCTATTGTTTGGAAAAAGATGGGCTGTCTGTGTAGATATGAAGTATAGTTTTTTTCCATAAAACAGAAGGTTTATTTTGTATTAAAAATACCACTGTACTTGTTTTACACCATTTGTATACATGTGGTGATATTAATGCTGAACTGTAAAATTCAGGAATTAAAATGTGACCCTGTAATTCCATAATTATTGCTTTTGTTTGGTTTGTTGTACATGGTAAGTTAACTCAGAATTTTAAATGTGGCCATTTCAGAATATTTTTTAACATCAGTTATCTGTGCAGTTTTAAAAGCAACTCTATACCACTAGATGAAATCCTAAAGGGAATGTGTGAGTTCTTACTGAGGCGTAAGCTGGACACAGGCATTCTGCCGTGCGTGGACCTGGGGACAGCGTGTTGCCCTCCGCGGGCTCCAGGCAACCAAGAGTGGGACTCCGTGTCTTTCACCTGTGCGATGAAGTGCCCTGTTGGCTCCGGACGCAGAGGATCTGAGGACGCGTTCGCTGGTAAAGCGTAGCTGCAGTCTCGTCACCGTGTTTGCTCGCTCTCCCACTGACGATCATCTGGTTTTCTTCCCGATGAGCCTTTCCTCTCCATCGGTAATGATGATTAACTTCATCCAGCACTATACACGCTGCTCGAGCAGCAGAGTTACGCAGCATGTGCCTTTACCTGAGGCTGAAAAACAGTGCCGCCTGGTCTGTGGACCCGAGTTGTCCTGATTCTCTTAAACAGCCACCCAAAATGAGTTCTCTGCGCGTCTGACTGAAGCGTGTTCATCCTTGCTCAGCGTTCCCCATCACCCTAACTCTTCCCTGCAGTACCGTCAGGAGCTTTAAAAATACATTCAGACCAACAGGAGAGGTCTTTTTTACAGCAAAAACAAGAATGTCATGAATTTTTATAGTTACTAGAAAAGGACTGTGTAAAGTGGCATTAGATGTCCCGTTTAAAACAAAAAAACAAAAAAATCCCTGTAGAAGGTGACATGCAGCTCTCCCTTTAACTGGCTTTTGTCTAGGCCCATCACCCCCATAGATCCTGTTTCCCAGTCCGACCTGGTCGGTGCTGCCTGGGTTCTGCCTCTGGGCAGCCACGTTCCCGTGCCCCAGGGGCGCTTCCACTACTGCTCTTTTCAGAAAAAGAACAGAGCATCTGCCAACATGTATCAGTTATAAATGCTATTTTAATAAAAAGTTACATGAAACTTGAATTGGTTGGGTCGCTTCTTTTCATGTGAGTTGTGGTTGCAGTCGGCTGTGTAATGGCATCGCACAGACAACAGCCTCTCCCCCTGCTTTGTTTAAAGTCTGTCAAAGCAAACCAGTAAACGAGATTTCAGAAGATTTCTACTTTGAAACTGAATTGCTTGTGACAGCCCTAGCTTTTACTTTGCAACTAAAGCAATTATTTTTACTTAAAGTTGCATTGTAGCAAAATTGGACCTAAGGACTGGTAAACTGCCCCAAAAGTATGTAAAACAATGTAAGCCAGAGTTGGTATGTAAGTGTCTCAACTCCAAGCTACATTCATTATCTGCTTCTCAAAAGTAAGATGGTCATAGTTGCACTTCCTTGTGAAATTAGGCTTTATTACATTGCACAGCTGAAAAATAGTAATTTGTTTATAATATCCTAATAAAAGGAACAAAGTTCTGTAATCTTAAAAAAGTTAAAATTTCTAACTCATTCAGAAGAGTTCACATAGGAATTACTTCAGCAGATCTCAGTATCTGCATTTGTTCTACGTAATGTCAAGCGGCTGAGGCCAGTAGTTCAGAGTGATGTTAAATGGCCTCCCTGTTGAACAGGTTCCAGTGAAAGTCAGTGAGGTTCCAGCATTCTGGAAAAGAAGTGGGTTTAGTGTATATCAGTGTAATTTTGAATATTTATATACAAAGTACTGAATTGCTTGTCTGAAAGTTCTATAAAACTAAGCATAATAGTGGAAAACAAATACCTTCAATTATTGATTATATAATTTACTCTAAAAACATACTTATGTCCTTGGGGTCTGCAATGAGCTTCTTAAAATTACTGCTTATTAATAACTTCTTCTTTTAGTTTTTCTGCAAGCATTTTTCTCTTCTGTAGTAATCTTTGCTTCTCTTCTGACATCTCCTAAAAACAAAATTGAAAAACACTGCAATAAACTGCGTGGCTCTCCTGGTCGGTACCCTGACTTCAAACGCCGACTGCTGACCAGACGCACATGCCAGATCAGGCAGCTGACACGCCATTTCTGGAACCAGAGCAGCCAAATAACATCACCTACAGACCTGAGGCTGCAGCAGCCGTCCTTCAAACTCACTTGCTATCCAGAATGACTTAAAATACTATTCCATTTCTTGAGGAGTGGATCCCAGGATATGGACAACTGGCTCTTTACATCAATCTGCCTTTTCTTCCACTGCAGTGTGCCAGACTTTCAGAAAGGACTAACCTCAGCTTAAACTGGTGCTGCTTAGTTGTTCTAGAAGTTCCCCAGTAAACAGTGTTTTTGGCACGTTCTGAGCGTAATAAAATGCTCACCAACTCTGAAAAATACCTGAGGCAATAGAAGGTCCTTGGACTTAAGTACATACTCTTCTTTACAGAGCAATGACTTTATTATGATTTTTTCTTTTAAAAAAAAAAGTTATTCCATTGTTTTGTGTGAGTTTTAAGGTCTTCTACTAGTTTCTTCATTTGTCTTGCGAGTTTTCAAGCATTTCTTCTCATATAAATGTAGATCACACCCGTTTATGGTAAATGCATTACATCATGTTAACCATAACAATGATTAATAAAAAAAAGTGTAGGCTTTTTTTGTGATACAGACCTCTGTGTTGGCAGGGCTTTATCCTGTCATAGGGCTCTGGGGTTTTTATGGCTGTACTGCCTTTCTCTGATAGGATTTACTTCTTTATTGCCAAACTAGATTTTTAATCATCCCCATGGTGCAAAGATTTTTGTGATTTTTAGCACTTAAGTCAGAGAACACAGCAGTTAATTCACTGAGGTGCTGCGCACATGTCTCTGAACGTAGAGCAACCTTTGGACAAAAAGAGACCTTCAACTCCAGGTCTCCTATAACTCCAGTAAGTTACAGTCACACTTCTTCCGCCAGTGCAGCCTTCTCATTCTGGCCTGTGCTTCCAGCCCTCCCACAGCCTCGGTTGTTTCTATCAGAGACAACTGGATAGATGACAGCAGCATCCGCCCTTCAGCGTGCCTTGTCCTTCTAAACTCTATCATCATCATGTCACTTCTATTCCAGCAGCTGGTGGATAGAAATCAACAATTTCTTCATCTGAAATAGGCATGAAACTCTCAGAACAAAAGAACTGAGCAAGTTTGTAACCTCTGTAAAACTAGACTTAGCAAAAGAAAAATGTTCTCATTTCAGCTGAAAAAAAAAAAGAAAAACCCACAGAGATTTAATGGAGCACAAACAGTAGGTCACAGATTATAGGAGGAAACCAGCATTTAAGCTGTTCATCAACTGAAATCAGTCATGAGGAGCTGATGATACTGAAGTGAAATAACAGGAAGGTAATCACTAAAACTTCTAGCCTATAACCTTCTACAAAAACTGTAACTTGAAAATACTTCCTCTCTACTTCCACCACTTGCCTTTTTTTATCCTGCTACAGTATTCAGCAGG